GGTTGTCCACTTCTTGACTTTGATCTAGGGCTCGAGCTGCTGCTACCTGTTGTCACCAATACTATGTGCTTATAATGTTCAGCTGCTTTAACATCAGGCGATAAGTGTTCTGATCCTGCGTGCACAGAGATTTCTTCTGGTTTATGAGAACCAGCACCTATTCCATTAGTTCTTTTATCTTTTCTCATCCTTGCCATCTTTGTTACACAGGTCCCACCGGGCGTGCCAAAAATTGTTCATGGTTGAATAATAAATACCAGACGTGCCAAAGATGCTGAGTCTCAATAGATAACAAAAAGGGTTTTGAGTTCTCTTACCACAGTTCGCTCGAATGTAAAAAGATATAAGGCTTTGATAGAACAAATGTATGATTTTATTGAAGTGTAAAAAGATTACAGACTAAAAACTAAAAACTGAAAAAGGGCTAATGAATGTAAAATGTGCAAGTCTTGATGGAGTGTTGACTAATTTCTTCTATATTTTTTCTTTCTATTTATAGTGTCAAAATAGCGGAAGCCTTTTCCTTGAAACTTAGTATGTTCTGCCAAAAAATAAGGAATCTCACAAAACTCATAGCATGGTCTCTCTATTTTGATAACCAGCCCGTTTCATTGAACTACTTGGGCGTAGATTTCAATATTACTTAGGATCGTGTCTTCGTGCCAACGGTCTAATATTTGCAGCTGATGGGATTTCAGCATGTTTACTTGTTGTGGCCTTTATTGAGCTTCGAGGCTGGCCCTTTTTGTTTTTATTGGGTCTGACGCTTCAATTATTCAGCTTAACTAGCCTTGTGACCTATTTGAGTGACGTTTTATATTTAGCCCAAATAGTTATAAACTTAATGCCTTCTTTTCTCTTCCCTTGTAAGATTAGATTATTTGAAATGCAAACAATTGATGCATGAGGACCGAACACACGAGAAGAATTCCTTGACAGAATCTTTTCTCTCACTTATGTTGAAATATCAAGAAGGAAAGATGCAAAGCAATCTATTCTGAAGAAGATTATCATATTAGAGACATCATCTTTTCTTGTACCTAGGACATAATCAATGACATGAATTTATTCAATCAAGACTTATTTGCTTGTCTTGCAATTACAATAGATCCCAAGTAAAATGATGTCTCTCCAAATCTTGATTGGGTTAGACTAGATGTGGATGGCTCTATTGGCTTCAATGATGCTGTCACTTGTAAAGGACTCATTCATGGTGATCAAAATAATTGTATTAGAGCTTTCTTTAAATATCTTGGTTACTACCCAAGCATAGTGGTATAACTTTTGGCCATCCTTAAAGGCCTTATTCTTTGTTGGGATAGTAAATTCACCAAAGTTAATATTTACTTAGACTCCCTTGAAGCCCTCTCACTTATCCAATACCACTTCACCCAAAACCATCCCCTCTCAAAATCTATCAACAAGATCAAGAACTTTACCATGAGAGATTGTATGATAACTCTCAATCATACATTTAGAGAAGTAAATAATTGTGTGGATTCGCTTGCTTGTCAGGCTTTGAATGAAAATTTAGATTTTATAATTCTTGTTGGTTCACCTCTTCACTTTATGATCTTTAAAGCTTTTACATGACCTGAATGCTATCTCTTGCTTAGTTTTCTATGGCCTCCTTATTCCAAAAAAAAAAAAAGTCGGATATAAAAGTTTTTATATACCAAAATTTTTCATTTTTTCAAGTTCGGCTCTAGAAAATAGAGAGCCAAAAAATAACTCAAGAGGCATGGCTTATATTGACATTTGACAACTCCAGCATTTACATTATTGCGTGGAAATAAAAATTATTTGAAATATTGCCCATTTTGTTAGTCTAAAGTGATATGCTAGTTTTCTTTTATAAAATAGTGATATGGATATATTTTTTGGTTTTTTCTAGAAAATAATGTATATATCGAGGTGCACAAAATTATAGTTCTTTGGTATTGAACTTGGAAGCAATTGGCGAGGGGTGAGAGTTGGCATTCATAAAAAATTAGGCGTACATCCTCTCATTTTGTTCTATTTTCGCATCAAGCAAAAATAACCAGAAGTGGGGAAAACAAACATTAAAGTGTATGTTTCTCTTTGTACTTTTCTTTAAAGAACGTTAAGCATCTATACTAATAAATAGGATATTTTTATTCTTAAATCATTTTTTAAAGAAGCAAAATTTTCTTTCCTTTAGTGATCAATTAACTTTATTGGGTTTTTTTTTTTTTTTTGCTGATTTGATATGCCTTTTGGTGTTAATATATTCTTGAACTCTTTTTTTATAAATATTGGGCAACCTAAAATTTCTTTCCTTCAATGAGCATTGGGCACCTGTACTAATAAGTGGGGTATTTTTTTTTCTTTAAACTATTTTCTAGATAAATGAAGGGAAAATTTTTGCTCCTCTAAAATATAGTTTATGAAAAAAATGTTTTACTTATTAGTACAGGATAACTAATGATCAATATTTTCAAAACAAGATCGGATGTTGAACCGAATATGGTAACGATTCACGGTTCGCATGGTCCAATCGGTTGGACCCATGGTTGAATGGATGACATAATAATTAAATTAAAAATATATTATATATATAATAATATATATATATAATAAATAAATATAAAATTGCTACATAACTTGAAAATAAAGCTAAATATTCTAAGTTAATTATGAGTTAATAAGCCTCATGACACAATATAACATCCAATGATTCAATATCAATGCTCACAACAAATATCCCTATAGTAATTTAGATTTTTTTTACTTGAATATTTATGCAAATTAAGATGTAAAAAAAAACAAGAATGAAAATGATTTACTCCCTTCGTTAAAAAATGTAAGGCATTTTTAATTGAATCTCATTCCCTAATAAAATAGTTACCTACTTTCAAACTGACCCTATCTTTCCATATTTACCTCTATTAAATACCCTACAATAAATATAAAATCATTCATCAATAGGGGCACTTTAAAAAAAAGAGGTAATGATTACAACTTGAAAGACTAAAAATGCCTTACATTTTTTAATATTCAACTACTCAAAAAAATGTCTTAAACAGAATGAGTATTAAAAATGGTGTTAAAAAAATGAAAACGAAAGTATTATTTGAATATAGGGTTAAAAATAGGAACAAAATGCACAAATTAAATTTAGAGCGGCTCAATCCGGTTCAAAAGCTAAAATGATTTTGTAATTCAAACCAAGCCGAAACAAGGATTGGTTGGCTATCCAAACAATTGGACCATCCGATTTGGTTCAATTTTGAAATCATTGTCAGCGACCCTTCAAAGGAAAGAACTGGGTGAAAAGTTACACTTTAACCTAAAAAATAGTCATAATTCCTTACCAGAAATGAGATACACAGTTGATATCAAGAAGATTATTGCGAAAGGAATGCACAAAGCCACAAACCCATCCAGAAACAATCCATGATACTAAGTCCGTTGAATGAAATCCAATGCCTGAAAACAAAGCAAAATCGGATTCAACCTTCAGACGTAGGTGTTTCGGCTGAAGCCTCTGATCAAAGCAGAAAGGCCTCCTCCTTTCACTAATTGGAGACATGATATTCAACTTGATCTTAGAATATGAGAATACAATACAAAATACCTATATATTACTTGTATATAATTTTCTTTAAAATGAGGGATTATATATATTTACATTACAAAAGTCTTAAGAAAAATACAACCAGAATAAAATAGTAACATTGTAATAAAAAGGGAGAAGGACATTAATAAAGCACTAAGAGATTAAATTAAACTCAAATAAAGATAAAGAAATTTGGAAATATAAGCACTAAATATTTTTTAATAAATTAGTCTAGAAATTTGCTACTCATATTATAATTTTAAACCATTACAAAAGAATTTGTGAGTGGAATTTATTAATTTATAAAAAAACTTGTCAAACATATTACTTCTTCCGTGATTTACCAATCTTATAGATGTGTTTCCCTTGTGTATTTTTTTTTTATTAACCCTTGAGAATTGGGTTAACTCTCTTGTATCTGATATGCAGTCTATTTATGCTGGTAGCAATACAAGCGCCTATTTGTTTTTTGTTTTTGAAATTAGAAAAATTTAAAAATTTGTTTGAATAAGTGTTTTTTATTTAGTTATTTCTAAAACTATTTCCATTTTTTGTTTTTAAAAACAAAAAAATAGAAACAACTTCAAGCTATTTTTGTTTTATTTTTTATTTTTAAAACAAATTACATTTAATTATTAAAAATTATAATTATCTTGACCAATTTCTATCATTAATTATCACCATTAACTGTCTATAACTATCACTATCAGTTTATTTTTTACTTCTAAAACTTCTTTTTAATTAATATAACCAAATGAATTTTTATTTTATTTTGTTTTAAAAATAATTTTTAAAAACTGTATTATAAAACAGTTTTTAAAAATAAAAAAAAAAGAGAACAGAAACCAAACAAGTTCTAAATTAGCCTCTAGTGGGCTCCCTTTCTACCAAAAAAATAGTATGCTTGAGAAATTTTTTTGTTTTTGTCCTCTATCCCTTCACCGGCCCTCTTCACTTCCTCACTTCTGTTCAATCTTTACTCTGAAATTACTTTGGATGATTTGAATTTAACATTTTATAAAAGTATTATTTAGATGTTAGAATTTTTAAAATAAATCAATATTGTACAATTCTGATCTTACAGTCTAGAGTATGAAGAGGAGAGAAGCTAGATTGACTAACAATAGCCCTCTCTGTCCCTTTTCCCTAAGCACAACAAATGATAAGTGATACTTTCTAATTACTCTTTTGCAGCATTTAGCACGCATCTTCTTAAGAGAACGCATACACACAAAATTTGTAGTAAGACGAAGGAACAATAAACTAGGCAAGATGTTAGAGTCATTCAAAATATAATATATGTTAGCTATTTCACAACTAAAATTCCAAAACGTCTATTAAGTCACTTAATAGCGATATATGGTGAATTACTGAATTATCATATGCACATTAAGGAAATCAGTGTACTAGTGAGATTCAGTGACTCCATCTAATGATGCTTGTTTCAGATCTTCAAATAAGCTTGCAACATCCCGTTAATCTAGGTACTTCGTTACTAATAGTATCAACATTCAGTTACTAGTAGCCGTTACAAAAGAGGGGTCTCTCCATTGTTTTTATCCTCCTTTTCCCTTCACTTTCCTAATCATAACTGTTAATCAAATCCATTACTAAAACAAATAATTTAATGCAGTGATATCAATGATCATGATTAAGAAGTGGAGGGAAAATGATGATAAGAAAAAAAAAAAATGGGAAGACCCTTCTCCCAGATGTTACTAGCACCCTGAGTAGCCATCATTGGTGACCAGCCATTAATGATAACAACAGGTAGTTACCAGCACACGAGGCACTGTTACATGAAAATTTCAGAAACTATTACTAGAACATTAAAGAGTGACAAATTTGCACTACAGCACTTAATTTCTTAATATGCATAGTAGAATGTAATTCTACTTGCAATATATATGAGAGAAGTGTTCATGGAATATAAATAATTAAATATGAATTATGACATGGGAGCAGAAATGTTCAAGACTGAGAGATTAGAAGGCCTATGGTGCTATGAGATACACATCAAAAGCGGTATCAATGAGGTTGATGAATCCTACCACTTGAACGGTAAGGGAACTCATGAAATTTTCAGCCCCTGCAGTGCAAACATGGTCATGAAAACCAATTAATGCTGAAGTTTTTGCACGTGAGATGTGGAATGCACTTGGTCTGGTTTAAAAATTTTCCGCTGCCTTGTTTGATAAATTATGGAAAAGAATTTCCGACAACAAGGCTTCCTTGTAAATTCTTGAAGAAGAGATCTTGAGTTATTTGTTGCTCCCTGACACTGATGCAAGTACACATGCCAAACATACATGATTACATTTGAGCTTAATTAACACAATAATCACTATCGAGAAGTATCATTTTACTACAACTTACCTACTATCACAAATAGCTGGTCTCTGTCACCACAAATGTTCCAACGTCACAATCTAGAATCTCGATTCCCAGTTTCATCACATAATAAATCAAACTCTGATAATACTGTCTACTCATGATATAAGAATTCATTCAAGACTAAGAAAATAGTAAGAATAGAAGCTTACCGAAGTCTTGTTCCTTCTTTCTACAAAATCACCCCTCTTAGAAACCAAGACTGCACTTCTCTAGTACTATTCACCTATATTGGGTCAAAAACCAAAATGCTCATTAGATTCAAAGTCACAGAAATGCAGAAAAAACAACATGAAAAATAGTAAATTTTACTTACTCTTGCATACACCCGCTCCAACTATAAAGATTTTTCAACCCTAAAATTGTCAAACATCACCAAATCAATATTTTTTTCTGGTTCAAATGGAAGTTTGCAAGTATAGCACCTTGTTCTTCACTTGCCAAGACCAAAAGTGCAAAAGTCCTATTCAAAGTAGAGATTCAAGTTCAATAATGGCCATCTCTCTCTTCCATGTAGCATTCTGAAAAGTGAATCAATTGCACAGTGAATATGAGTAAAAAATTAGACAAGCCAGTTTAAGTGAGTGGACAAGGATTTGAGTTCATGGGTCATGGATTTGGATCAATGGTCAAGGGTGTGGTCACTTAAAACAAAGGTCCAATGACCTCAATAACTATTTCTAGACAAGCAGGCACCAATATAATTATCATAAACTGTATAACACAGATTGATTATTTCATTTACTAAGAGAACAAGTGAGAAGGAGTGCTATGATACAAGAGCTGGAAGTGGATGACAATACCTCAACAGAAATCGAGGATGTGTCATTTTTCTTGCTTTCAATCTGTCATCACTTATTAAGTGAAGCCTTGTGACACTATTCTCCACTGAAAGAAACATCACAATATACCTTGATTAAGTAAAAGTAAATTCTATATTATGATAACCCTTATTAACAAAAATTACAAACCGTCTTATACATTATTCAGTGATGTTCTGCCCAGATACCTTATTTGTTTCTCCACCATATACGAGATAGATTGCAGTCTTCTTCACAATATATTTGTGTAAAAAATCTACGATAAAATCCACCTCATTTCCAGGCTCCAAATTAGATATTATATTCTGCCATTTTTCACCAGTAGAAATTGCAGCATCTCGCTTGTAGAACTCCATGGTAGCCTTTGTAAAATTCTTTATCATGACACCAATAGGATTTAAAGATGACGTGCAATCTTGAAGAGATGAATAAATAATGTACAGGAGTATTCCATTTAAGCAACGACCAAAAACTTGAGGAACTGTAAATGAAACTGAGGGTCCTTCATTTTCAAAAACCAGCCAATGAGGATAATTGTCTCCAGGAAGAGAATAGTCAAGCCCTCCATTAGTCCGCCCCTATTCCATGATCACAAGAAAAAAAGCACTCCATTTACTCGAGAACAAAAGAAATGTAATAGTCACTTCTGTTGTCTCTGCACCTCTACACCATGCACATGCTAATTATAAATATCAATGTTTAAACACATTTTTTCCAACACTTGGCAAGCATGCAGCAAATGCACCACGCATCCACGACTTGTAGTGATAATGAAAGAGAAACTAGATGGAATGTATAGTGAGGATTGAAAAATCAGAAGAATATGTGTATCATTCAAAATACAATGCTTATTATTTCACATCTAAAATTTTGAAAACATCTGTTATTTCACTTTATAACTGTAGGAATACAGTGTATTTGACAGTATAATTTAGTCATTTATTACAATAATGGTAGCATATACTATTAAGAGTAAAAATCTGTAAGTACTAGCACTCTAAATAACCATTATTGTTAACTGGCTATTAAAGTATTATAGATAACAATGAGTAATGATTAGTACTTTAAGCATCATCACCTGGATATTTTAGAAAATGTTGCTAACATGAAAAGAAAATTAATAAATTTTAAGTGCAATACTTAATTCCTTAATATGCACTACAGTATTTGTCTTGAAATTTACATGAGAACTGTGTTCTCTTAATTATAAATATTGATCACGCAGTAGCAGCAGCAGCAATGCATAGTAAGAATAGAGATAAGAAGAAAACCTCTGAGATACTCTTCAAAAGTGTATCAACGACTTTGTTGAATCCTCCCACTTGGATGGTAAGGGAACTCGTGAAATTTTCAGCCCTTGCATTGTGAACTTGGTCATAAAAACCGATTAATGCTGCACTTTTTGGGCATGAGATTTTGAATGCACTTTGTCCTGTCTCCGAATTTCCACTACTTTGTTTAGATAAGTTATGAAAAAGATTATGCAATAAAAATGGCATGCTTGCAAATGCTTGATGAAGAAATCTTCGACTACTTGTTGGGGATGTCCAAGACCAAATGAGAGGTGAAAATAAACCATCCGGTAATCCTTCATAGCCACATAATGAGATATATTTGATGCTTCTTGATCTTACTAAAGAACGAGGCACTTCTGTTATAGCAGTTTCATTTGCCAATAGAGTTGTCAAAGATTCCATTTTCTCAAAACCTCCTTCTAATTTGTCAATCTTTGAACAACCAAAGAGATTGAGAGTTTTCAATGATTTTACATTACATAAACTACTTGGCAAATTGGTGAGATCTTTACAATTCTTCAAATTCAACAAAATAAGGTACTTTAGATCTCCAATGGATTGATGAATGGAAGACAAACGTGGACAATCTTTGAGTATCAGCCTTTTAAGATTTGGCAAATTTGAAAAGTCAGGTGTTTGCCTCAAGGAATAAGAATGACTTAAATTGAGAATTTTCAACCCCTCCAACAACTGGAAGAAAGAAACATTCTTAGATAAAATTTAAATATAACAGGAAATATTAAATAAATTGCAACAAAAACAATTATTATCAATAACTTCAAATTCCAGAAAATAATTCAAAAATACCTGGCACTTCTCCCATACGTGGGTGAGATGACTGTATTTCAAGTCCATAGCAATTAAATTTTCTAGATGAAAATTATCTGGCATGCAACTTAAAGGAAATCCATGCCAGCAAAGCCACCGCAACTCTTTTGATAGATATTCATAGTTCCCCTCAAGTTTTACGTGGCCAAGTTGAAGCAATCTAAGTCTCGTCATCATCTTAAATGCAATTGTATCAAAGGATAGTGTTTTGGTTTTTGACAAATTCAGAGCCAGTCCCCTAATACACCTTGTCCCCTATGAAACAAGAACAGGAAAAGAATGAAAGAGAATATTGCCATAGGATTATTGCATTTGAGCAATATGATAATGGTTTGAAATCAATAATTGGCAACCATAACGAATGTATAATGTGTATTGACCAAACAAACTTTAGTGTTTTAACACACAAAAATAAATTGTTTAGAAAGTTCTTACCATATGATGTGTTAACACTTCAACCACGTCTTTATGAAACCACAATCTGGTACGCTTCTCAGGCTCGTCTGGTGACATTTCACGAATGATCTCTCTTCCCATGTCACGTAACAAACCATGCATGTCAAGCTTGTTATTTTTGTCAACTTTTACAAGGCTCAACTCTATGAGTCGAGTGATTCCAATTTCTGCATGTAGTCCACAGCCATCTAATATTTGTGTGGTATAATTTCTATCCCTTCCAATAAAAAAACAACATATATCCAAGAATATTTCTTTCTCCGCATCATTACTCAAACCATCATAGCTTATTTTTAGCTTCTTGTGTATTTGATCATTTGGAAGCCCTTTAAGTCTGTCTAAAACACTTTCCCAAGCTTGTACTGGCCTATCAAACAAATAAGAGCCAAGGATTTCAAGAGCTAGTGGTAGTCCTTCGGAGTAAGCAATAACCTTTGTTGAGAGTTCGAGGAAATCTTCTATCGGGTTTACTTGCTTAAATGCATGCCAACTAAAAAGCTCAAGAGATTCATTGTCATCCATTTCTTTCATACTATATACATGATCAGCTTGAATGATCTTAAGTAAATGCTCATCTCTAGTAGTGATGATTATTCTGCTGCCTGGACCAAACCATTCACTGCTTCCACACAAAACATCAAGTTGGACCACATCATTTACATCATCTAGTACAATAAGTGCCCTTTTATGACGAAGCCTTCCCTTTATTATAGCTTTTCCCAATTCAACACTATGTAGTGTGATCTTTTTTGTTTGTAAAATGTCTGAAAGAAGTTGTTCTTGCAAAAGAACCTGGCCATTTTCTTCATCCCAAGCTTTTCTAATGTTTGTGAGGAAACTTTTTGCCTCAAAGCTTTCACCAATTTCATTATAAATAGCTTTGGAAATGGTTGTTTTACCAATCCCCCCCATGCCAAAAATCCCTACTATCATAACATCATCTGATTTACCACTTAACAAGTGGGTGATTTCTTGCATGCGAGAGTTTATTCCCACAGGATGATGAGCAACGAATAAATACATGTGGTCATTCAACTTCAGGGTGACAGTTTCAATAACATGATCAATCAACTCAGCATCAGTTCTAGCCACAAGAATAAGAAATTAAGTAAATAGAAGATAAACTTAGAATGGAGCAATATATATAAATGATTGATTTATGATCTCTGTCTCAGTCATAATTTAATTTTAAATGTTCTCCAACCATATTGATAAGTTAAACAATGGAAGAAAATTAAATAATGTTTATCTTGAAATAATTGTGTTAGTTCATTTCACTTTATATGTTACTTTTGGAAAAGAAATTAGCTTATGGCAGACTCTATATTACATTTTAAAAATTAGATGGCACATTGAACTGCTAAAACAAATGGTTCACAGTCAACATAATTATGCATGTCCAGTGTTACAAGATGAACTGACAAGGGTTTCTTGTAGAGAGCCAAATTGTATAGAAATTTGAACTTTTCAACAAGATATACCAACTTGAATTCTAAGTTTGAATACCCACTGAGTAAATAAGTCTAATTTTTTTTTTTTTAATACCATGTTCCCTTTATCAAAATAAATCAAAATAAAACGATATCACTTTTTTCATTATCTAGGCAAGTATAACAAAACCAAAAAAAAAAAGCTTTTGAGGAGTGCAAGAGTATAGGAATATTGTATTTACCTATAATGACCTGAGTACCAACCAGATAAATTGGCAGCTTCATGAAGTGCTCTCATCCAATTGAATTTCTTGTCTTCGCTGGCTGAAGTTCTCCTTACAAGGCCTTCCAATGCTTTTCCAAAAGAGCCGATTTGCTTACGTACATCTGATGGTTGGACACCATAGAATATAGGCAAGACCTCATGACCAGTAGTTCTGTGACACTGAATGATTTTCTCTAATTCTTGCAAGCACCATCTAGAGCCAGTATAATCAATTGAAAATACAATGATTGACATCCTGGAATTTTCAATTGCCTGTGTTAATGTGGATGGGATGTTTTCTCCCCTTCTAATCCCATTATCCATGAAAGCTTCAATGCCTGCATTTTTTAATGCAACATGAAGATGAGTTGTAAAAGATTTGCGTGTATCTTCACCCCTAAAACTCAAGAACACATCATAGGCATATTTGGATTTTGGCTTCTTAGGATTGATTTCTTTTCCAATCTCTTGCAGCAAATCATGCATATCAAATTTGTTGTTTATGTCAATTTTTACAAGGCTTCGCTCAATGAGCACACTTATTCCAGTTTCTATAGGAATTTTGAAGCTGTCTAATTTTTGCATGACATCCTGTTTTTCCTCACCCACATAAAAGCAAGCGATGTTAAAGAATAAATCTTTCACTGAAGCATCCAAATACTCACAGCTTATTTTGAGCTTCTCTTGTATTTGACCTGTGGGAATGCCTTTCAATTTCAACAATACACTTTTCCACTCTGGCTTTGTCTTACAGGACAAAAGAGAGCCAAGCACTTCAAGAACCAGTGGCAATCCTTCACAATATGTAACTATACTTTTTGCAAGATTAACAAAACCATCTCTTGGACTAGAATGCTTAAAAGCATTCCAGCTGAAAAGCTCAAGAGATTCACTGTTGTCAATTCTTTTCATTTCATAGACATATTTGACATTAAGGTCATGAAGTATATGCTTATGTCTTGTTGCAATGAGTACCATACTCCCATAACCGAAACATTCACCCCTCCCACATAATGCTGTGAATTGGTCTGTTTGGCTTATGTCATCAAGTACTATAAGTGTCCTTTTATCATGTAGTACTGTCTTTATTTGACTAACTCCCCTTTCAGTGTCAACTATCCTGTCATGTTTCGTAAGAGAAACGTCTGAAAGAAGTTGTTCTTGCAAACAAACAAGACCGTTAGCTTTCCCTGATACATTTTGTGTGCTTTCAAGGAAACTCCGACTCTCAAAACTTCCACCAATTGTATCATAAATAGCTCTAGCAAGAGTTGTTTAATCAATTCCTCCAATTCCCCATACGCCTACTATGATCATCTTCTCTTCTAAAGGAATGATATCTTTTGAATAGTATTTGGCCAAATGAAGCACTTCATTAATACGAAGTTGTATCCCCGGGAGACATTGTGGGATATCTAAGTAAGTCTTGTCTAATTCCTTCTTAACGTATTGAGTGATTTTTCTTATCATGTTGATGTCACTGCTCAACAAAATAATTTTACTATCAGGAAAGAAAAGTAGCTTAAATTATATGAACATTACAGCAAATACATGTGCAAATTATAATCCTATTGATAATTGTTTTCTTTGGTCCTAGAGGAAGTAAAACAGTTGTAAGCCTTGAGAGTGGGGGTGTTGGGAGAAGAAAAAGTGTCAGTTCAGTCAAGATTCTTGAATTATTCATCGATTATATTCTTTTTAATATGATCCAATATAACAAAAGTATAAACTTTAAATAAATTATTGATTATTGATTTAGTGCCTGGAAGATAATTTCTATTTGATCTTTAAAAATTCGTCTGTTTTTAATTAGCCCCAAAAAATATTGAATTGATTGTTGTTGTCCATGGATGATGATGATTAAAGAAAAAAAAATTGTAAAGATATGAAATTAAATTAAAATATGATATAATTCCTGCAGCAGCAACACTTTTCTAATGTCGAATTTAATGTGTCAGTTTTTTTTATTGGCCTCAATTTGTCACAACAGTTTAAACCATATCATGGGAGGGGGAAATGAATCCATTATTTGGAGCAATAAAAACAATAATCTTTCCAAAAATACTTCAATGAAAAATACTCTCTCTTCTTTTACCATGAGGCAATGAAAAATGCAAGGCATTAGGTGCTTACCCGGAAGTTGAGACCTTCCAGCCAAACAACGGTGCCCCCCAATGAAAACCTCCCGTGCTAGCCAGTGCTTTGTGGGTTGGAAAACCGTATGCAAATCTGCCACTCTGTGCACGCGCTTCCAACGGACTCAAACCACAGTATACACCCAACACCGTTTTGCCTTTATTCATATGACACTCCTTTATTTTTTGCAGTTTGCACAGAAAATCTGGGGAATCACAGAAGTATCTAGTGAAAACAACGATCACAATCTTTGACCGATCGATGGCTTCTAACAGGGTAGGGGTGATCTCTTCATTCTCGTCGATGAATGTTTTGACCGCTGAAACTCTTAGAGAGAATTGAAGAGAGGTTATTGATTGGTATCTAGTTCGGAGAATCAAGAACACGTCGTACATCATTTGTTCTCGTTAGGACACGGACTTGGGATTGATTTTAGATGAAGGCGTGAATGAAGAATTTGGTTGTGCTGCTATTGAAGTGAGTTGCTTCTGAGGCACAGTTGAAATGATTCACTCATTTAGATATTAATTTGAGTAGTCCCCCACTGTTTTCATGAAAGCAGACAAGATCTTTTTTTTTTTTATTGTTTCTCAATTCCATGAAAGTCTACGCGATTGCAATTATTGAAGGTACTAGCTCCAACAAACTGAAGACTGCACCTAGTTTAATAATCAAGTGGTCGGCCCGGAAGTTCCATTCTGGCGACTAGCTTCTACCGCTAGCGCCTGGACTTGGAAGCAAGACAAAAAAGTCACAGTCAACCTTTACGCAAGCCGCCTAACGTTCGAATTCGTTGTATTTCTTATATGAAGAGTGGCCTGCACATTAAACTCATCTAGGTCGTCCGCAAGCATGCAATCCTATCCGTTCATCAGTTTCCCCAAACACCTCAGCTCGTCTTCTTCCTTCACCTGAACTATTCATTCCCAATAGATTCCCTGTTAGGCATTCCTATATTCTCTCCCTTATACCATAGATGTTTTGGTATTGAATTTGGTAGCAATCAGCAAGGGGCGAGAGTTGGTATCCATGAAGAACTTGGTGTAGATCTTCTCATTTTGTTCTCTTTTCACATCAATCAGACAGAAATAACCCGAGGCGGAGAAGGAAAATAGTAATAATTCCTTACCAGAAATGAGATACACAGCCGATACCAAGAACATTATTGTGGAAGGCATGCACACACCCACCAAGAAATAATCCACGATCTCTAAGTCCGTCGAATAAAATCCAATGCCCAAGAAACAAAAAGGAATCAGATTCAACCTTCAGACCTATGGGTTTCAGCTGAAGCATCCGATCAAAGCAGAAAGGCCTCCCCCTTTCACTATTTGGAAACATATTATAATATTCAAATTGATAATCGTTGTTATTGTACGCCAAGATTGCAAGCCAAAAAGCAACAGCAAAAGCTGTCATGAAGAGGTCTCTGACTCTCAGACTCTGAAGCCGGAGGAAGAAGGCGACTAGAGGTTTTGCAGAAAATAGATCAACGGCTTGGATTGCACGCTCATGGACGACGGGATTCGTCTTTTTTTTTTTTTTTAATGGCTAAAATATACTTTTCAATCTTTTACCTTTATACTTTCTCCAGTTATATTTATAAATTACAGTATAATTTTTTAAATAATAATTAAAATATATTTTTAAAATTACTCTTTATAAAAAAAAGAAAGTAATATGAAATTATTTTTTAAATTTATTATATAAAAATATATATGAAATTCTACACACTTTTATTTTTTTTATTTTTTTTGCATTAATATTGATAAAGTTAGTAGAAATGATTTATAAAGAGGATCAAAGAAATATACAATTTCAAGCTCGCTAGGGAAGTGTCCTTTTTAATAGAGTTTTCATAATAACACAATCAAAATTAATAACAATTTATTTAAATTTTAACAAGTTAAAAAAATAAATGGGATAAACTTAATTGTATAAGTGTTAGCCCTTCATCAGCAAGATCCATTCATGTTTTAATAATAACAGATTCAAAATTAATAATAATCCATTCAGGTTTTAATAAGTTAAAAAAACTTATATGATAGGTATAATTGTACAAATGTTAGTCTTTCATCAATAAGTTTGTTAAATTTGTTATATAGAAACATATATGAAATTCTACACACTTTTATTTTTTCTTTTTTTTTTGCATTAATATGGATAGAGTTAGTAGAAATGATTTATAAAGAGGATTAAAGAAATATACAATTTCAAGCTCGCTAGGGAAGTGTCCTTTTTAATAGAGTTTTCATAATAACACGATCGAAATTAATAACAATTTATTTAAATTTTAACAAGTTAAAAAAATAAATGGGATAAACTTAATTGTATAAGTGTTAGCCCTTCATCAGCAAGATCCATTCATGTTTTAATAATAACATATTCAAAATTAATAATAATCCATTTAGGTTTTAATAAGTTAGAAAAACTTATATGATAGGTATAATTGTACAAATGTTGGTCTTTCATCAATAAGTATCTATTTGAATTTTAACAACAATCAATTCAAGTTTTAACAAGTTAAAAAATTGATAGGATGAACTTAATTATATAAGTGTTAGTCATTCATTAACAAGTATCTATTTGAGTTTTGACAATAACTCATTCTTGATTAATGACAATACATTCGAACTTTAATAAGTAAAATGTATGAAGTTTTAAAGCTTTCAATTTATAATTAAACATGTCATATTAATAAGTAATATTAATAAAATAGTGTGCTAAAGTATAAATCTATCCTCGAAGTTTCCATATAGGTACATCTAATATCCTCAAGTTTGTTTTGGGGCAATTTCACCCCCTCGGTTTTTAAAATGATACAATGTCACCCTCTATTAATGAATCTAGATATTGACAATTAGTTTAACTGTCAAAGTATTGAGGTGGCATACCACTTGTCAAATGGGTCCATAATTTAATTTCGCTTAATCATCTACTCTCTCTTTTACCCCATTCACCTCATCAAAATCTTCATCCTCTTTACCATCCATCTTCCTTTGTCTCTCTCTTCTCTCTCCCTCCTGAGCTTCATCACCATCTTCACTTTAGATTAGTTGTTCCCCAAGGCCATTAAAGAGCTCCATCACTCACTTCTATTTTTCAATAGCTTGGTTGAAGGAAGAGGAATGTTTTAGGGTGGGGATATTATATGATGGTAGAGAAGCTATCAAAGGCTTGAGTTGGCTCAAGCCTAATGGTTTCATCGATCTACAATCTAGGTTGAGGGTTGTCCCCCTTGGCTCGAGCATGATAAATTCATCGATCTACAATCTGGTTTGAAGGTTCACCCCTTTGGCTCAAGCATAATGGTTTGTTGATCTCGATCTAGGTCTATGACCTAGGTATTGTAACATTTTAAGTTTCTCCATTAGTAATTATCAGTGTTTTCAAGGATAATTTAGTTAATTTAGATAAATTGTTGATTTAGCAAGGTTTATGGGAGACTAAAATGGTTTTTGAATCCTCAAACAGCCTTAGAAGAGGACTAGGTCAATGTTCAAGCAGGCTATGGCACAAAAGAAATTTTAAAATTTTGTGAGATTTTTTGTGCTATGCGCCACGGTGGGCGTGTCAACGCGCCGCAGTTCACGTGCCAAATCTACACTTATCAGATCGCGAATTATACTCAAAAAATAGAAGAGAAAAAGTAGGAACTCGAGAGCAGTGATGAAGAAAGACTTGTGACTGTTAGGGCTTGCTTCTAGCGTGATTTTGGAAGTCTTTCAAGCTTCATATACATTGGGTAAGCCTTCCTTTCTTCTCCCTCTCCCTCTTTTATGCGAAAATCTAGATTAGTGGGGGAATGGAGGCTTTGATTTCAATTCCCTTGGGTTTAGACCGAACCCATTAGTTTATTTAAGGTCTTGGAAAGTTAAATTAAGCTTCTAACCCTAAGTTTATAAGTTTTGTGGTGATTAAGAATTTTTGTTAAGGGTTTGGACGAACCCTAAATATAATTTAAGGGTTTTGAGACAATATGGGACATTAGTTAGTGAATTTAGTGTGTTGGGATGTTTAATAGGATGGTTAGAGTGTTTAGGAATCATTAATATTGTTAGAAAAGGAATTTGGGTATTTTAGACACTTAGAACCTAGAGAATTCAAAGTTATCTGAAGTAATAGTTGATGATTGTCACTTGATTGTGTAGATTGAGCATTGCTCGAGCTATATCATGCGTATAGAACGTGTGGAGCTAATGTTGAACTACGGTAACCCTTTTGTGTGTAACAAAGGGTTGAGGTAACGGAATAATTTACACTGATTAATTATATTGCTTAACTGTTTATGAGTAAATATGTGGATTTAAACTTGAGATTTGATAACCTTGCATATTGTGAAATGTGGTTTTGTGCATGAAAATCTATTTTTTACAAATGATGAAAGCTATATATAAATGAGTTGAGAAATTTAAAATGTTTATGTAATATATATATATATATATTGAATGTGGGCATGATCATGTTAGGCGTGAGAGTTCGCCCGTAAGAAGGAGTAATGGAAGTCCATATGGTATGTATCTCTTTAATGCCTAGTGAGGCACGGTGTTGGAATTTTTCTCCTTAGTATCCACGCGGGATACTGTGTTGGAGAGTAACGCTCCTCAGTATCAATGATGCGGTATTGGAGTAACGACACCCCGATTCGTGCATGATAGGGGGAAACCGTAGTCTGGAAGTGGGATAGGAAATATGATGCGTTCTCACTCCATTAAACACACTTAACAAATAAAGCTCATGGTAATTGAGGGATTAACCCTGAAGAGTGATTACCAAGATTTAATCCAAAAGGAAAGGATCCCAAATTTTTCAAATAGAAACGAGTTAAAAAAAATCAATCAAAACCTTTCATATCAGAGTAAAAATAAGTTTTGGAAGTATGGGATGCCTCAGAGGAGTGAAAGGAGTCGAAAATGATTGAAAACAAATTATGCACTGAAATACAGAGCAATGCGCCATGGCAGACACACTCTGCACCGTGGATTGTTGCTTTCTGTGCCACACGCCGCGGCTCAGGCACCATACGTCGTGGCTTGTTGCACGAAATTTCACTAGTTTCACTGTCATCTGATAATAGAATCAGGGAAACTTCCAACTCGCCCTGATTCTCCATCCGACATCTGAATAACATGATCTAGGTGTCTATGAAAAGCTCTTTTCCTATACTAACTAATGGCATGGGTTTTACTTCCAAAACAAGTCACACGAGAAAATTGGATGCCCAAACATATTTTAACCACTTTTCAACACTTTAACATAAAATGGGTGTCCAAAACCCTCAACAAGTGCCAAAAACTTTTCCTAAATCTAGACCATGTCTAATAGACCTAAGACTACCAGTACAATACGTCACAAGCACCAAAACATCATTGTAACTATAATTCACTCCTCAACCCCAATTTAATAAAAACAAAGGGGGAGGTAAATTAGCATTACATTTAACTTGAATCATTCAAAACATGCTCAAAACTTCATTTCTACACTTGCACTAGTATTTTAGCCCTATAAACATATATATGTCAACTTACACAAAGGCTAAGGGCCCAAAATGCAATTCTAACATTTTCAACAACCAAAATAGTGCAAGTGAGGTAATATGCATCCTAGAATTGGCAAGCTATATACTATTACACAATTAAAGCTACACTAAAGGCATACAGTAGGAATATGCTAATTCCCTACCTCTTTAGTTTTCTCCCTCTCAACACCAGAGCTAGAGCATGAAAAGTATTAAATAAGATGGGTGAGTCTAGCCACTCAATAACCAAGGTTAACCCTATCCTATACAATTATATATCAATTATAAAACAATACATGCGCAAGGAGATCAAATTTATAAAGCATGTCCCCATATATCACATTTTATGATTTTTCACTCTATAGTAAGGGTGTTTATGGAACCCGGTTGCCCGACACGCCCACCCAAACTAGGTGAAATTTTGCCCTGCCCAGCCTGAAAAAAATAGCCCAATATAATTTAGGCATTTTTGGGCAAGGTTGGGCAATGGGCAAGGTATACTGCCCTGCCCGTTTAGCCCAGCCTGAAACATATGTTTATATTTTTTTTTTGAACTTTGAAGGTACAGATCTGCAAATCTGCCCAGCAAGCAAGGAGCCAAGGGTTAAGGAGGACTGAAAGACTAAAGAGAGCCCAGCCGGCAGCCCCACACGACCACACCTCTTACTCTCTAACCCTAGCAGTCTCCACTTTCTAGAGTCCCGTCACCATCAGCGTCTCAGTCTCAGCATCAACGAGAGCAACTCAGCATCCCACAAGCCACAAGTATAGACCAACACTGCCTCTGCCACACATCTCAATCTCCAATCTCCATTCTCTACTCTTATCTCTCGTCATCATCGTGTCAAGCGCCTCTCACTTTCTCGTCTTCACTTTGCTCTCCAGTCTC